TAATTAATGCGACCGATACTTCTCTATTAACTCGTCGACTTTATCGCTTAAATAGTCGCGGTTCCTTAAAATTATTTTCCTGTCGCTAAACATATTGTAGAGTTTACTTCGTAGTGCTGATTCCGTTGTAGAAGGATAAAGAAGCTCCTTCAAACGATTCACCAAATAGAAAGAAAACTTTCGGGTGTTCCATGGAATGTCATCGTCCTCCAGGGGATTGTCAAGCAAATGCTTGAAAATTACGCCAATCTCACTGTCGGACCATGGGTGGAAAGGAACTAAACAACCAATTCATAATAATTATTTTAAATCGTTCTTTTATGATTGATTATATGAATAGAGTATGAACAATAAACACTCACCACTTTTACGTTTTCTTGAAGGACTATCATCGTTGTCTTCTGGCTCGAACGTAGTGTTGTTGTTCCGTCGCGACGGCGCACCTTCCTCGGTATGACCGTTGTCTCGAGGATCGTTATAGTCCTCGTCGTCAGGGAGGTGCGCAGTTGCAACGGACTCGTGGATACGTTTCGCCTGATATGGCCTCAGATTTTTCATAGACATGACCCTCCCGCTGGTGTTGGTGTCTATCTGAAAATTTTGGAAAGCCAAGGTTTCGAAGCTATCCAAAAATCGCGCCATAACTTGATTCGTGGGGTTCCTCCTTTGTCCTCTTTCGCGCCAGCAGTCCATCCGTGGATCCTGAAACTTCAAACCATCTATTAAATCTAACGGTAAATATTTAATTTTGTTGTTATGCAGAAATGTGGCGATTAGACGAGCTGCGTTTATGTCGCCAAGTTGAAGATTAGCCGCTGCCAGGGCCACTCTCAAAAGCATCGTGTTTCCATTCACGATGTTCTTACCAGCTTCGAGAGCGGTCCTGGCCCCGTAATTCTCGCGATAGTGTTGCACGCGGAGAATGCGCATGCAAGATTTTTTAAATTTCCAGTCTACAGGCGAGTCGTGCCATCGTGAACCTTCTCCTGCCACCTCGTTGTTCACCTCAAGGCGCCGGCGGAAATAATCTTGTCTTTGACAAAACTTGGAGGAGAAACCGCACCTCCAGGTCAGTTTCCTGTTGTTGCATCTGTTGGTCAGAAATCGAGAGGTCCGAATTGAAATTCCTCCACCCCTGCTCTTAAGGAGCAGTCCTCTCATGAAAGTAAAAATGGTAAACGACGATATGCACAGTAATATATTATATATTGCGGACAAACGGACAATATTTTCTGCAACAAGTTGCAGATGGAGGATGGCACATACCTTGCGGTTTCTCCATCCTAAACTAAACACAATCTTAAATTAGCCTAACCTACGTTATGTATATTGGACGTACACAAACATAAAGGGGGACTCTGGTATCTCATCTGACTAGTAAGTCGAGAGTGTCCTCGACACGGGGGAGCAGCCTCAGGAAGTTGGGTCTTGTTACGCCAATCGCCAACACGGTCTCTGCTACCATTCTGGTCTTATTATGCAGCGGGCAATCGAACAGCCGATGCGGTGGATCGTCATACACTCCACAGAACTCACAGTTCGATGTGGGTGCTTTACCGATCCGGTGCAGGTGTAATCCGAAATTGCCATGCCCAGTTATTAGTTGGATCATAGCAGGAGAGAGAATAACTGAAGGAGATTCTAGCCACTCGCGGAAGGGGCTCAACAGGTCATAGGTATAACGCCCTTTGGGACTTGCGTCCCAAAGTTCTTCCCAATGAGCCAGAGATAAGTTTCTCAGATGCTGATCAATCTGCCATTAGTATTGGAATCCAGCGGCTACAAGTTGCTCCCCAACATGGGTCCCTTCCCCGTGCCTCTTAATTGCACGCCGTGCCTTAACCTAAAACAAAAGGAGATCAATCGGCGGCTGTCTCGCCACCACGCATAACGTCTTCACTGGGGCGGTGCGATACGCCCGCAGGATGGTCTTCAAGTAAAGCCCCTGGATCTGCCCGAGAGTGCGAACGACTCTAGAATTTGTTAGACGGTGACCCCAGATCTCCACTCCATACGACAGTATAGGGAAGATGGCCCCGTTAACGATACCCTTCAAAGCCGTAACTGCCAACGTCGAGCACATTTGGACCAGCAGTAGAAATTGGACACTCCGGGCGGCGTCGTTATCTTCAGTTGCGTGCCGCTGTTGGCTCTCACGAAGCTCAAAATTCTAATGGCGCTGTTTGTCCAACATTTCACTCCATTGGAATTGTTGAGCGGTCGCAACCACGGTTTTACTTGTAGTAGTTGATGTCGTTGTCGCTGTCTTTGTTCTGTCGAAATTGTCGAGTCGTGTCGTTGTTGTCGTGTCGAAGTATTCTCTTCATCATTCTCATCGTCATTCTTATCATCACTCTCGTCATCACTGTCAACATCACTGTCAAAATCACTGTCAACATCACTGTCATCATCACTGTTATCATCATCATTCTCGTGGATTAATATAAAAGGCCGGATATCAGAACTTAACTTCATTTTTTCCCCTGATGGCCAAACTGCTTAGATATGGATCGGAACTAATTATCAGTCTCTTGAAAAGATCTTTATTTACCCTTTTTAAATTTACTTTAGTTGTAAACGCGTCTCTAAATTTTCTAATATCTTTATTTTTTGCTTCTTGTGCTTCCTCGGATAGCTCACCAATTGGCAATATTGCTTCGCCAATTACGGAAGCACCATGTATTAAAATGGTATGTACAGAAGTCGGCATGTGATACCAATTGTACAATTCGACAAATCTTTTGGCCGTTGACAAGCAATATTCTTTGAAATATTCTATATTGATTTGGTAACCGGAATTAATTACTCGCAAAATAATAGCAAATCTTTTTATAAGATCTTCGTCGATTCGAACTTTGGAATAAAAATCATTATTGAGTTAACTTACCGGTAATCTCTGCAGACAAAGAAGGGTTATCAAAAAAGCTCCTAGCTGTGTTTCCATCATTTGTGCTCCCGTGCCCTTGCCTAACACAGTCCACTTGAATCCCCATCTTTGATCGAAATTCTACTTGAATTTTCTTTTTTCTCTCAGAAAATTGTATTTTATTGTCTTTGGTGACCTTCCAAACTTTAAGTTCTAAACGATATCCTACATGAAGCAAACATTCAAAAAACCGAATATATGCATGTAGCGTAGACAGTCCATACTTTAAAACATCTTGTTTTTCTGGAAGACTTAGAACAAAATCAATGTCATTCATTTTGGAAATTTTTACTTCGCAAATATGGCAAGTCATACTAGACGTTCTTGTTATCGCCCCACAAGCCTAAAAATAATAAAAATAATTAGATTTTGATATCATGATATTAAATTATTAACAAACCTTTCCGTTAAGCATTGTTAGGGCTAAGTGAAATCTCACTGGACCTAAATCCGACTGATAGGGTACCAGCTCTTCTATTTCCCCGTTGACAGCAGCCTCTTTATCCCTTGTTATTTCGTCAGTTTCCTTCTCCCAACGTCATCTTATCGACCGACAATACATTTTTGACGATGGTCTTGGATTTTTCCAAACTACTTCGGAGGTTTTCTCGCAGACTAACCTAAGTGGCACCAATGAAGTAACAAATAGCCTTTCGTCAGATTGAACAGTTTCTTCATCTTTTTTATATTTAAAACTAGTATATCCCGAACTTCCATCAAACCCCCACTTGCAAATTAAAACTAACGACCGACTTTCTACGGATTCGTTTCCCACACATCGTACGACACTTTCGCAAGTTTTATTTAAAATTGATTATAAAGGAACTTTGCATAAACTATTGGAAATTGAAATATTCTCTGGATAATATTTTTTTTTCTCCTCTGTTAACTTGTAATACGGCGGAAAAAAATTAAGGCCATGATGTGTTGCTAAACGCCTCATGTTAGTGTATTGGCCCTTTGACAAATTTGAACAAATTAACAATGAAAGTGCCTCGTCAATTGTGCATGATGAATACGAGTGTTCATATGCTTTTAAAATTTTACTGGCCCGTGTTGGTGTGGTCATAGCCGATTCTTTTAATATTTTTGCAGTATCCACACTTTCCTCACATTTTAACTTCATGGCTGTGGCAAAAACTAATTCTCCACTAGAATGGCGCTTTCGGAGTTCTTGAGTTTTTTTCCGTTTAATTACTTAATTTAATTATTTTGCGTCCAACACCTATTTTAATATTTTAAATTAGAATAAATTAAATGGGAATAACAAGAAATACTTACGGCTACTGGATGTTGAAGGTTCAGGATTATATACATCTGAGTAGGATTGTTAACTGTTTCCGGGAACACCATTTCATTCAACCACTCTTGATACTTCACTTCAAATTTTTTTTAGTACGGTTAAGGCTATTCCATTTTCGAAAATATGGTGCAAAAAAATTATTTCTTGTATAAGTCACAAGGTCTTTCGTAGCCGTTTCATTTTCCTCAATACCAAAATATTCCTTTAGATATCTAAAATTACATTTTTCCTCTCGTCAATAGAATTATTGGAAAATTCCATCAAAGATATTCACTTTAATAATATCACAAAAATAACACACATTTCAAAAACTGTTATCGATTCACTGCAAAAGCTTATGCACAATTAAACAATAACACAAACCAACAATTAGATAATAGGTACTCTTTTACTTGGTATACCTAAGAAGTCGAAATTAGAAGGTAATTTTAAATTTAATATAGTATTTTACCTTAATGAAAATAAATTATATTGGACAAAAATTATTGTTGTTTATCATAATTTTCATAATCTTGCATAATAATACCCTAGTTATTATTTTGCAGGTAAACCAAGTAACGATTTAAATTTTTTTACAGATCCACCTTAACCTACTAATACCGAGCAAATCTAAAAATTACATTAAAAAGTATAGGGTTTGAGGAACATTTTAGTATAATACTTAACCTAAATTATTTTGTATTCATAGCCATAAAATAGTCTCAAAGTTAAAAATCCACAAAAAACAGCTTTATCTTTATCCCGAGCACGCCACTTAATGTCCCTCTATACCTAAAAGCGGCAAGAATCGATGGATCGGACGTATTCCTTATCTACAATGGCCATGTAAAAAAATATATCCTCTCTCCTGTCGACCGGCAAAAGTCGTTCGTTGGTGGTGGCAGGGCCGAACAGTTCTTGCAAGATACAATCGACTTTTTCAAAAAATGCCTTAATGTCCTTACCAAAGAGCTTCAGTTCCTTATGACGATAAGGCAAGTCAATGGCGCTCGATCCGTGATCCAAAGATGTCGTTGCTTCGCTTAAAGAAGCCGCTGCCGGTAAAACGGCCATCTTTAGCAATCGTGTCCTAAGGTCCCACCCGTTGACCTTTTCTCATTCTGGCGTTTGAACGCCAAATATATTTTGCATAAATTGCTGCTGCCTATGAGGCACTTCCACGAACGAATCTCATTCTGTTTATAACGAAAACGCGATCTGAATCGTTTAGGATTATTTGATTCACGGCGAATGGTCCCCTCGACGAGTGATTTGATGCACTCGTCCTCGTCCTTATCCTCGTCCTTGTAGCTTAATGATTCCAAATAGTCAGAATCCTCGTGTGGTGGTGTAGGTGCATCCTCGTTGTCCTCGTTGTCCTCGTCGTCCTCGTCGTAATGATCAATTGCCGTATTTATCGGCAACTAAATAAAATGTACATCTGGCGATTGAAGTCCCAACAGAGCATTCATTTGCAGATCAAAAAGTATTTGATCGGCAATGTCGTCAGAGTGCAATCTCTTCTTACCACTAGCAACCGTACTCTGCTGTAACAGCTCTTCCGAATGTTCATTTTGTGGGATCCTTGATGCTTCGAGGAACGCCATCAACTTGACGTTTTCGGTAGGCCAACAATGCCCTACTCCTAAGGGAATTTGAAAAGTCGGACCCGTACGAAAAGTCGATATGCTTCGTGAAGCCATCAACTTGGAGTCTATGTCAATTTTAATGTCGACATTGCTCTTGTTGATGACCCGTTTTAGCATTGGCGTCTCGGGGCCTGACGGTGGTGGTGTTGGTGATCCTGTCGATGATCCTGCTGGCGATCCTGCTGGAAAAAAATTGCGAGTCACTGTTTGTAGGAACAATACTTACCTGACGCTGTTGATAAAGCAACGCCTTGACGGAGTTTGCTTTGCAGTCCTCCTCAAACTCGCCCATCTTTGTTGCTTTAATACTCTCGTCGTTGCAGCACCATATTTCATGACCTTCCAAGAAGTACACGACGTAATGGCCTGTTTTCACTTCAATGCCCCGATGCACAATGCAGGTCGTCAAATCGTACAAAGTCGCTAAATCGGACGGGTCGTCGAAGATGAACGAGTTTAAAGGTAGTGGGGCACCTGTGTGTGCATCTGCTGAAAATGTTGCCTCCAGGGGCTGAATCCCAGGAGAATGAAGTCCGGAAACGGCCGTGCGATGGCAGCTTCCAAAGAAAATGCCACTTCGCAGTTGCAGTAGCCCCTGCTGAAATCCTTCGCTTGATTGAGAAGACTATTTCTCGTAACGGTGGCGACGAGATCGATACGTGAATCGTCGATCTCGACTAAAACAACCCCGGACTCGTACAGCCGCTGTTGTTGTTGCCGAGGGGAAACGTTACAATCGGGTTGCCGGAAAGTTACATTCACATTAACTTGGAACCTGAAGGGTTTTCTCATCGACGCGTTTCTGGTGCTCAAGTTTTGCAAAAACCCGATTGGATCCTGATGCCCGTCAAGATCCGAAAATCCAGCACTGCCCAAATCGTCGATAGGTAACTGCCAACGTCGAGAACATTTGGACCAGCAGTAGCCATTTTCGCCAAGAAATTGGACACTCCGGGCGGCGTCGTTATCTCCAGTTGCGTGCCGCTGTTGGCTCTCACGAAGCTCAAAATTCTAATGGCGCTGTTTGTCCAACATTTCGTTCCATTGGAATTGTTGAGCGGTCGCAACCACGGTTTTACTTGTAGTAGTTGATTTCGCTGTCTTTGTTCTGTCGAAATTGTCGAGTCGTGTCGTTGTTGTCGTGTCGAACTTGTCGTGTCGCGTCGAAGTTGTCGTGTCGAAGTTGTCCGAACTTGTCGTGTCGTGTCGAAGTTGTCGGTGCGAAGTTGTTGTTTCAAAGTTGTCGTGTCGAAGCTGTCCTGTCGTCAAAGAGATAACTGGCGCTGGTGGCGCTGGTGAAGCTAAAGTGGCAACAGTGGAATCAATAATCGCTTCGTATTCATCCAATCTCAAACCAGACACGGCGTAGCAAAACTCATCGAGTTTCTAGCAATAACGATATACAAACGTTAAAAACAAGTGCGACGACAATAAAGAATAGAGTTGGTCGAATATCCAATATCCAAAACCTTTTAGTTACGCAAATGGCACTTTTTTAAATAAATCTTGTTGGCAAATTTAAAGCTGATATTCGACCCACTCTAATAAACTATCTGCGTTAAGAAACTTACCGTCCGTCTGTCGAATGTCTTGGTCCGCCTTTTCTTTGTCTTCCTCGACGGATTCGAAATGGGGTGCACGAGACATTTGGCCGTCTTATCGTCAATGAACTTTTTAAGTCCCTCTCTATCTTTGCAAAGCGTTCGTAGCCTGCACAATATTGTACGGTTTGGAGTATTGGCAAGTGGCTTTACTTCTGCAACATAACTTGTGGCTATAGTCCACGCGGTACCTGATGTGCACAATTCAAGGAAATCTTGCCGTGAGGCAAAGCGAATTATCAACGCATCTCGGGCTGCCCCGTCTATGTTGCAGTCTTTGTCGCGGTTTTCCTAAAACAAAAATTTTATTATTATTATTATTATTTTATAATATGTAATATAGAATCGAAGGTCATCTGCCAAAATCGAACTTCAACTATCAATGTTCCTTTATAAGGAACGATGAAAATGAGAGTAGTCGGTCCAAAATTCGGTTCAACGATTTTCCTTTGCCCTTAGAAGACCAAAAGTCTATAAAATAAAAAAATAATTTAAATAATGATAGAACACATTTGCACAGAAGTTTAAAATTAAAAAATAAGTGGCAAAAATTCGCACAAAATCGAAAAATTTAAAAATGTACAAATTTCCTCATTAACATAAATTTTTAAAAATCCAAAATTTTGAAAAACTTAAAAATTATGTTCAACAACGCTTTCTCAAGCTCAGCGCATACCTCTTTTGTTTGCTTGACAAATTTTCTACCTAAATTTTTAATTTTGTTTGCCTTAAACTACTATTTTATAACATAATCCTATTTTAAAATTAAAAATAAAATATATTGATAAACATTATAATATAATTATAATATATTTATAATGGATTATTTTTTACGGAACCATTACAGTAGGTACATATTTTTATTATTTAATAAATTAATCTATTGGTTTTATTTTAATTGCAGGGGCCACTATAATAGTCTTTATCGCCAGGACCTAAAATAATAAAAAACCGAACATTAAAATTAAACACTACAAATAACAATAAAAAACGAAAAACAATTAACACCCCGTGTTAGAAAACAAAAATGAATCTCTATAAACATATAAAAAACAACACACAACCATGGTGGATAAAATTTAAAGCGGCTATAGGTAGTAATTACAAAAAATATCATGTTAAAATAATTGTTTTAGTAAAATATAAAATATCAATGAATTCTATAAATCTATATAATAATAATAATGTAATTTTGAATATTACGTAGGTAGGTTACCTACGATTTTCGACCTTATAAACATAGGTAAACAAAACACGCGATTTTCGACCTAATAAACTGTCTTCCCATTAAGCTTTAGCTTACGATTTTGTTTTATACCGCGGTCTTTGGATACCCCCTTTTTTATTACGTCATCCTATGGTACTTTTGACGAGGATCAAAAAGTTTCATATGGACCCACCCCCGTTTTTTGAACTCCGCTAGTAAATTGACTTTATTATTAACATTACAATTACAACGTCAGGTATAAAATTAAAAAAAAATAACATTTACATAGCTAAAAAACATATAATAATTTCATTTATTTTTATTTTCTCCAGATGAAAGTCTCTCTCCTTCTCGCTCGAGTGTCGCTTTATTAATGGCAGCGTAGTCCAAAATCTTTGCACACTCCTTCAAATCTTTATCCCAAATGTCGTCTTCCTCCTCGGACATTTGGATGTAAGCTAATTTTATGTAAGCCAAGTCGGTTTTGGGAACATCAATATCTAATTGGGTTAAATTTGGCAACATCCTTCCGATGAAATAGCCCTGAAGTTACTGCCACGTTCTATTGAGTCTTCGCTCATCTTCTTCCACATTTCAACACTTTTCGTATTATAATAAGCTCCTTCGCGAATTATAAATTCTATTATTCGCTTTTGCTCTTGGTTAGTGAAAGACATTTTGATTATAAAAATAGAGCACTCTTAGTAAATCTCAAACAAAAGTTCACTGGATAATGAGTTGTAATTCTGGAGTGGGCACTTTGCAGAAATGTGGCGATTTGATGAGCCGCGTTTATATCGCCCAGTTGAAGATTAGCCGCTGCCAGGGCCACTTTCAAAAGCATGGTGTTTTCATTCACGATGTTCTTACCAGCCTCGAGAGCGGTCCTGGCCCCGTGTTTCTCGCAATAATCTTGACGCGGAGAATACGCGTGCAAGATTTTTTTAATTTTCCATCTACAGGCGTGTTGTGCCATCGTGAACCTTCCCCTGCCACCTCGTCGTTCACCTCGTGGCGCCGCGGCGCGCCGGCGAAAATAATCTTGTCCTTGTCAGCGTAAGGTTAAAATTGCGTCGCATGTATGTGCCCAAAACTTGGAGGAGAAACCGCACCTCCAAGTCAGTTTCCTGTTGTTGCATCTGTTGGTCAATCTGCTGCCCGTCGAAAATTTCCGGTTGTTTCCAGAGATCGGTATCCTGGCACAAAGTCACGTATAACGTGTTGAAAGCTTCCGCCAATGGAGCCTGGAGGAACTCGTGCAAAGGAAGCGAAAAAGCCCTGTTTGGCACGCGCCCGATGACGAGGTCCAGGTTCCTTTGAAAACGCATAACCATGTTGTTATCTAGGTTACTCCGATCAAAGTGTCTCCGCTCCGGATGTAGCAGGGCGAACCGCAAGTGCCTCCAATTGGTGGTCTTGTGTTGAGTAAAACTCCCATCGATAAAGAATTTTACCCGGACGTAGGCTAAGTAATGTCGCTCAAAGAAGCTCTTGGTCGGTAAACGTCGATGTTCTTCGCTGTTACTTAGCAGGCTGACCAACAGATGCACATCGGGAGTGGTTGCCTTCCAGGTGCCAAACCCAAGAAGCTGGTCCAATCTGCACCATGCATCCGTTCTGCAACAAAAGTTTAGAGTGGCGGGTAAGGAACTCGATTGTTCTGGATTCGTCGTGCAGTTGTCCCGTCAACTTTTCCTGCAGCGACTTTAGATTTGTAAATTCGTGTACAACTTCCACTCGCAATTTGTTCCCCCGAACGACCATGGCGCGGTGTCTCTCCTGCTAAGTAATGTCGCCCAAAGAAGCTCTTGGTCGGTAAACGTCGATGTTCTTTGCCGTTACTTAGCAGGCCAGGGCCGGCTCCAGGGTACGTGCAGCCGTGCCCCTGCACGGGGCGGCAAAAATCGAAGGGCGGCAAAAATTAAAGAGGTGTACAAATCGAATAGCGTCAAAATTCGAAGGGCGTCAAAAATCGAAAGGCGGCAAAAAGTTATCGTACTATTATTTCCCATTTTTAAATAAAAAAGCGGCTTTCTTTATAATAGAGCCCACAAAGGATCAATGGCACGCGCCGCAATGTGCGGTTTCTTTTGATTTATCAGGATTTCGCTTTGTTTTTAGGCAAACTTATAAATTATTTTAGTTGATATTGAACTTCTTTGTGCAATTGTACACTACCTATTTGAAATTTAATAATTTAAAAAATAGACATTTTCGAGGACATTTTGTTCCCTGTGGTTGTGGTATTGACATTGTGCTGGGCTTTTTGTGTGTGTTTTAAGGTAGGTATTTATGCACATTTTATAAAAAATTAATATAATATCATAGCATGCACCCTTTTAATAAAAAATAATAATTAACAAATAAATAATTCTCATAAATAATGCTACAACTGGATAACTAGAAAATTTACGAATCCAGTTCTACTAAATACTTACATAGGTACCAATTTTAGAATATTTTTATTTAATTTACACTATTTTAGTATTTACACTGGACCAACGAACCATATTCAACACCATTTTGGTTTGTATCGATATAGAGACCATGTATGGTGTTAATTTAGTGTTAAAATGGTCATGAAATTTTGAACAGTGTTTCTAGGGGGCGATATTATTTAGGTATACCTATAGTTATAGGTACTATAGTTTTTTTAGAAATTATACCTTATTAATGGGCACTAAAAAGTAGGTAACTATGAGTGGCGGCAAAAATTTTTTGCACGGGGTACCGCAATGTCTGGAGCCGGGCCTGTAGCAGGCTGACCAACAGATGCACATCGGGAGTGAAGTTGCCTTCCAGGTGCCGCACCCAAGAAGCTGGTCCAATCTGCACCATGCATCCGTTCTGCAACAAAAGATTAGAGTGGCGGGTAAGGAACTCGATTGTTCTGGATTCGTCGTGCAGTTGTCCCGTCAACTTTTCCTGCAGCGACTTTAGATTTGTAAATTCGTGTACAACTTCCACTCGCAATTTGTTCCCCCGAACGACCATGGCGCGGTGTCTCTCCGGCTAAGTAATGTCGCTCAAAGAAGCTCTTGGTCGGTAAACGTCGATGTTCTTCGCCGTTACTTAGCAGGCTGACCAACAGATGCACATCGGGAGTGAAGTTGCCTTTCAGGTGCCGCACCCAAGAAGCTGGTCCAATCTGCACCATGCATCCGTTCTGCAACAAAAGATTAGAGTGGCGGGTAAGGAACCCGATTGTTCTGGATCCGTCGTGCAGTTGTCCCGTCAACTTTTCCTGCAGCGACTTTAGATTTATAAATTCGTGTACAACTTCCATTCGCAATTTGTTCCCACGAACGACCATGGCGCGGTGTCTCTCCGCGAGTGGTTTAAGATAATTGCGAGTGTTTTCTCTGATCGTTATTTGGTATTCATCGTTGTATCTACAGATCCCACGGTGTCTATGATTAAAGATCGCCGTTGCCGATGGCGTACAACGTCGGAGACACGTGGGAAATGCGCTTGGTGAGAGGCGCCATTGCATAGTAGATCTGCAAATACGACCAGGTGTTTGATTGTTTCGACCTTTACTTGATGAAACTCCATATTATTATTATTATGTAGATATAAAAAAACAAATATGTTTTGAAAGTTTCACGTGTTTTATTTACTTTTGACAATTGTTTCGTCACACAGTGACTTCTTCAGAATGTATTTATAACTTATTATTAAGTGAGTTTATATAACACAATGTTTTATGGTACAAAAATTTTTGGTATACCTGAATAATATTTGCTTAATACATTGAAAGAGAGTAATAATGGAAAACCTAATTTATTGTAGTACAGTATATTCCTATTGTGTGAATAATTAAAATAAATTTAATAGAGGTGAATTATTGGTTTCGATTTGATCATTTAATACAATATCAGTTTGTTTCTTTAATTTATTGATTTCCAGTGATTCTAGTAAATTTAATTTTAAGCCTTTACTTTCTACATGTAAAATTTTAAAATTACACAGTACGACAAAATTTGATTTTTGGTCCCTCCCATGAAAAATTTCTACAGATTCTAAAAATAGAGTTAAAAAAATGATACCCGTGTCTCGGCGTTTTTTCACATCACGTCATAATTTTTTTTTAAGGGCTATCCAATAAAATGTTATTCACACTATTCGCAACATAATTTAATAGACTCGATAACAGCTGGACTGCATAGTTAAAAATATATATATTTACTAAATGGATAGGCAACCATTATAGATGCATTTTAAAATTATTTTAATCTTATACAGAGTTTTGCACATTTATATACAGGGTGTCCCAGAACTCGCGCCACATAGAAAACCGGAACGTGCCGAAAGTAACGTGAAACACATATTTGAAAATTAAAATTGTCTAACGCAAAGGATAAGCGAAATATATCTTATATTATATTCTTATAAGAATAAAAAACGATAGCCAATCCCAATAGATGGCCATAGGGAATTCTTTAAATTGCTAGGATACTTAGGTTGCATTGTTGATAATAAAAAATATGTAAAATATTTGGTCCACTGGAATCCAATTCATTGTGACACTGCTGTCAAACTCCTGTCATTAATATTATATTAGGTTATAAATTAAGTTATTATAAATAATGTTTTCCTTAGATGATTATACTGAAATGATAATTATTTATTTAT